CTGCAGACTGTTAATGTTGATGTTATCATCCTCTGACTCACTAAACTCTGGCGAATTTGGGGGGGGGGGGGGGGGAACAATCTCGAGCTTCACCTCTTCGATCATACCTCTATCACAGTCCTCCTCGAACTGGAATCTTCCGAACTATCCGGTCAGATATGAGTTATTATTCATACTTGATGCTTACATTTGTTAAAACGGTGATCATTGAGCACCCCATTCTTGCCCTTCATCCAACTGCTTCCCGAAGGATTTTCATCAGTAGTTCCGACATTTCGGGTTTGTGCAATGGGTCTCTTTTAAACATTTTGTTCTACAATACTTTAAAATTACTTGAATGCACTAGTAAATGAAAATAAACAACGGCATATGGTTCGCCTCTCATTCCTAATCTCACTCAAAGCCATGTGCTGCTCATACCTTAGGAAGGGATGATGGTATTAATCTCAGCTCCTTCACTTTTTAACCACCCATCCACCTTTAAATTGGTCATCAGAGCCTTTCAAATCTTCTTCTATTAACAGAGTTGGTTTTGGTTTGTAGCTAATATGCCATCCGAAACTAGTGCTTCATGTAATCGCAGCGTTTATTACTAGAGCGGAATAATTTGCATTCCCGATTCTAATTGATAATCAGAGTCCTAGACAAACACATCGAAGGAGTATTGAGATAGCGCCAGTTTCTCATGAAGGGTTTGAGCACTCATTTCCCAATTCACCTACTCCTAAAGTCAGAGGTATCCTGTTTTCGCTGAATTGAAATCTTTTCTTCCCTGGGGTTGTTCCAGGCGCCTATACTACTCCTCAGAGGCAGTCATTTCGAAGACGGGGTGTAGGCATCGTAAAGTCATGGTACACCTCGCCCTTCGAATCGTCCTTTGAAATGGTGACAGGAACAGGTGAGTCGTCTCAACGTCGCAACTGTCGCACCCTCCCGTCCTCTGCCACTGTCACTATAAAGGACGCAGTGCCAATGATGGCCCAGTCTGCCTGCTTCTCGGGCCAGATGGTCGACTCCGGTTTCGCTGACCCCTAGCTGGACTTCTGCGCTCACTAATTTTTCTGTTTGTCGCTACCTGTCCGTTTGATTTACGACCTTCCCTCCTTTGTGTGCTTGTGTCTACCCTATCTATAAGCGCCAGCCAAGGAATTGTAAATAGGACTCTGAGATCATCGACCTGCACGTTGTTTACGCCGATCATCTTTATTCCCCTTCGAGAATAGCATTTATTGTTTATCTGAGAAGGAAGGAAAGTTCTTTCTTTGGTGTGGTCATCTAATGGTAATCTCTTGCTGACACTTGGGCTGGCGGAAGTACTTTGTTTGAAGATCTGGGTCGCAATCTAGGGAAACCGGAACTGTTAAGTCGTTTAACTGTAGCGTCCCGAGACTCCCTGAAGAAGAAAGAAGACACAATACTCGGGCAGAATATATATATTCAGCTCGGAGAAGGCGTCTGGGCTATTGGCATGGCCCAAAAGACCAGCCCACCCAGCAAGGTACAGGGGGCTAATTCAAAGTACAAAAGTGGCGCCTCACCAATGCCGAGGGATAGACCACTATCGTACTACATAATCATCTTTTCATTTATTGAATCAAGTGCTCACGGTCTAGAACTTGGTATATTCGTAATAACTTAGATGACTTCCATTTACTGCATTTACCATAAAGTTGCAACACTTATTTATGGTGGTGAGTTCTGGACGTGCTAAGGAAAATGATATGTTGTTCAACTGCATCTTTGGCATACCGAATTACGATCCTTAGCATCATGGAACACATATTGCTCGGCCATCATACATCAAGCATAAAGTTGTTATATCGCGTATCGCTCTCAAGATGGACTAAGTTGCTGAAATATAGCGTTAGAGTTTTCAAAGATAGCCCTTAAATATATTTAGGATAGCCAAGAGCAAAATTAAAAGGTAATGAGCAGACGACTCAAACCATTTAAATGCAAGCAACTTTACAAAGAGATAAGCAAAATAATAAGGCATCTCATTTTTAAGTATATTATATAGAAGATACTTCCAAACATTATAAACTTTACGCGCGTGGCTTATGGTCGATAATTCGCAATCCTTATATTTTATGTAACACTTAATTAAAAATGCAGTTTTAATCAAATCAAGGCTATGATGCTGCTATTAAAAAAACTAAAGACAGGATAGTTTTAAAGTGTTAATAGTATTGTTTATCTGTATCGACGGCAATAAGTGAGTAGCCAATTTGATGACCTCAAGGCGCGCAGCTTCTAAATTGGTGTATGATGACGGAGTCGCCTGAGGAATTGCGTGTGAGAGGGAATTCATTTTTTTCAGAAGGCAATTATTTGGAAGCAGTCAAATCGTACCAAGAATGCGTAAAAAGGTCTAATGGTGATGAGAGTTGCCAACAGATTGCATATCGCAACCTGGCGCAGTGCTTCTTAAAGTTATGTAATTATGATGAGGCCATAAAGGCAGCAACTGAAGGTAATAATTTTTTTCCACCAAGTCAAATATTTCAGCTCTTAAGATATTGCCTTTTGATACGAAGGCTCTTTATCGCCGTTCCGTTGCCTATGAGAAGATAGGAGATCTAAAGGAATCGATTGCTGATGCACAGAAACTTATTCAACTTGAACCGAATAACAAAGCTGTCAAGGACCTTATTCACCGTGTTGAATCGTGCGTTGTTCAGAAGAGGGAATCGGCATTTAGCTTGAAAGGGAAAATCAATTCAATGTTTTCCATACTTGCTGATGAAAAATCTCCTGTTGATCTCATTGAGCCTGTGAGGATACGCAAATGCTGTTTTTTACTAATTGTTATAGGCTCTTAGAAATTTAATTGCACTAATAAAGGAGGAGGATAAGACAGCATCTAACGAAGTTTGGTTGCATCCCAGCAGTAACAAAATTTTTGACCTTATTAATCATCCAAATAATCAAATCGCTAACCTCGCTCTTTTATTGTTGGAGAATATTATGAGAACTGTACCTAGCTTGGTAAGTTGGCATTCGTTGCTGCTCTGCATGATTCTGCCGCACATCATTCCAGCTCATTCTTGGCTCTACTCCTCAGAGTGTCACCATCTTTGACAAAATGACGCTGAAGTACATCATTGGTCGAGTGATGTCACCTTCTGCGGATGTGTCTACCCATATGTGCAAGTTCTTATCGCACCTTTTGGAGAGTTTAACGCAAATTCGGGCTTATCAAAAGGCGCGCGATGCCGCTGTGGAGCTTGCGAAGCGGAATAAGTCTCTGGCTCAATCGTTCCTTCCCAAGGAGGTCTACCCACCCTACAAACTTGGTAAGTTGCCATCTTCTCGATTTATCTTGCTGAGACACGTTATCGTTCTTCGGTTCTTTAATCAAATTAATCCATCATTTCACTAGCAGTAGTAACCATCGCCAACCCAGCATCAGCATGCACTTATTATTGGCTTTATTTTAAGGAAAATAATATTTTCTTCCTTCTAATTTGTTTATTGGTTGCAAATTTTCATAGAGCTGATTTAAAGTTGGTTGTTTAGTTTTCCTTTAACTTGAGACCCTGCTCACTGCTGCGAAAAATAGAGGATTTTAAGTTCACGCTGCTGTTCTGCACTTACATTGATAGTTTTCTCCTGACATGGTCAATTTAGCTGCTTGCAACTTAGGCAACCTACCTACTTTCTTTTCCCGATTCCTCAAGTGTGATATGTACTTCACATAGTACGGCTCCTTCCTCTGAAACTCCAACCCAGCTAATCTTGTGCTTTTGTACTCAGTTTATTTCCTGATAGTAGCACTGATTGTTGATGAATTGCGCATTTTCAGTCTGTCAAATATTTTTTGTTCCCTTTTGTGGTTGTCATTTTGTAGGTTTACGTGCCAATAAATTTCACCAGTGGGGCATCCGTTATTTCTTAGGTTAATCCTTTACTGATGAAATGCTTAGTGCCTACACTGGGCACTTCCTTACTTTGTGGAACTTCATTTTTATTTATTTGGTTTTTACTACTCAATTTACCTTTTAGCAGCAACGACCACTACAAACAATTTATCATTAGCTGTGAAGATACCGCTACTTTTGTTGCGTAGGCAATGCATTGTTCCTTCGGAATATAACGACGTTATAGGCTGCCATTCCACAGGGAACTAACGACGTTTATTTAAAGGTGAAGATAATTAATAATTTCTTTAATATGGGCTCTTGTGTGTGGTTACATGCGGCGTTTGAATTTCAAGACGTATTTGTACAGCCTGATAGACTCTACCTTATGAAATTTCTTTAAGGAAAATTGTTAATTGGTGCTTATTTTGAGTTGTACATAATTCTGTGGATATTATCTGATGCTTCTTTCTATCGATTTAAAGATGACTTTTTTAAAACAGACGCCTTCACGAGCCCAATGCTTCTTGTTACGACCGATGGTTGGCTAATTTACCCCATTCAGCTGAACACTCTCTCCTCTTTACCCGAATTTTCCTCAGCACCTTACACAGCAGTAAAAATAAATGTCATTGCATGTCCCTTGGCACAATATTGCCCTTGTGGCGCAGAAGATGGCAGTTACGCTGCGTGCCACCATCTTTTCCTCCTGGCTGCCCTATCACGCACCACACACGCACTCGCACGTAGCGTGCAGTCGGTGCCTCCGCGCTTATCGATTTTTTAATCGCCTTCACCATTCTCGTTACCGGCAAGGCAGCCAGACCGGGGTCAGAGTTGAAGTGTCTCATGATGTGACTGATCACAGCTGTTTTGAAAATATCATTTTCTCCTTTCAGAGGCAGAGTTTGATCTGACGGATTCATTGCCTAGCATCGATTCTACGGATTCAGTAGTTAAATAATGAGTAAAAGAGTTTTTCCTCAGAATAGTTTAACGAAAGCATTCCTTTGACACGTTGGAATTGATATTTCTTATTCATTTCTCAAATTCGGTGGGTGTCTACTAAGAACCTGGTCCTCGCTAAACGAGATGGAGTCAGGCTTAACAAGAATCGGATTACGTTGGCCGAAACAAAGTCATGTCCAAATAATTGATCTTCGTTGGTTTTTTTAGTTCTGTTAGAGGAATATCACACCACCTAAGTTGGTTTTAGAAGTAGTTCATTAACGCAAAATGAGTTTTTGTCAAGCTCTCGGTCACTCCGTTATTAAAAATAACTTTGTAAGTTATTTAAAGAAGATTATGATTTTTTGAGTTTTAATGATGTAGTGAGGTGTTTTTAGACCATAGAAAGCCTTATTGACCTAATGTGTTGTCTTGCTTTAGTGTTAAATAATTTCGCCTTGTTCTCTGAAATCAAGTAGAAGTAGCCTCTTGGTGTCGTGAAAACTTCAAGGCAAATGGGTTTTAACTGTAGGGGCCACGCATTTAGTAAAAGCGGTTCTTTCATTAAACTGGTGAATTGGTGCCGCGTTATTATGCAGTTAAATGTGCAGACTCTCAAATGTTTAGAAGCCTGCAATGCATTGTCCATTGACATGCGTAAATCTCCATTTCTGCAAGCTTGTTTGGGCTTCTGCATTTTTAAAATAAAATACATAATTCACAGGGCCTACTATTCTGGTACGCAGCTCTGCAGATTCAGTCATTTACAGCAGATGCTCTCCCTCCGTGTAGTTTATGCCTGCTGTGCAGTCAATGAAATCACAATTGCTGTTCATTTGTGTAGGGTTAACTTACCACCACCTCCGAAGTGGCTACCTGAAACCTCTTTGAAATGGTTATTAGACGTTAATATAGACGGGCCGTTTAGTGTTAGAATATGAAAAGGTCGAGAAGCCGTAGGCATGGACCATGCAAACCGCAGAAACTGAAGAGTCTGCGTATTTAACCAATACCAGTATAGTCGGAATGCGCATAACTCGGCTACTGTTGTGGAGACTGAAGAGACCTTAACTAAATCAGTCTTTGTTGCTTTTGTTCGTGACAGAAGCAGAGTTGGAGGGTCCAGTGGCAAAGATTTTAGAGCAGGTCCTCCGATCTACAAACAGCTACCGTCTCGAGGCTGCCGCTAGAGACATCCTTCTACAACTACTGACCTGGATCATTCCCTCCGAGACAGGCATCGGCTGGACCGAACGCATTGTCACTGCCGAGGGTGGGTTTTCTATTACAAAACCTGCCTTTCTCTTCCTGCTGCTGCGATGTGATACCAGTTCAAATTGATGATTACCTCACCACGATTCCATCCATCCATTTATCCATTCACTCACCTACCCATACGTCGATCCACCAATATTTGGACTACTTTCCCAGAATCAAAGATGATGATTATCCTATTTGGTTGCTAACTTACGGAGAACATTTCACGTAGAATCTGCTATAGGGTACGTGTAAGCCCTGTGTTGAAATGCGAATTCATAAAAACGACGGGGTTTCGATAAAACGCAGATATTCATGGAACTGAGTTGCCAAGAAAGTAGCACACAAGGGCTATGGGAAGTGAACGAGATGATTCACATTCCCATCAGCCCAAGTTCAGTGTGGTAGGAGCGTGTGGGCATGTACAATAGTTAGGGTCAACTAACCAATCCTGTGACAGTGCAAACTGTCCGGATCCACCGAGGAGTGAGGACGCAAAATGATTGAGATAAACAGACGATATGAATCTTCCTGTCAGAATCCCACGTCTTTCTGCCTTACCAGGTAACTTTGAGCGCATTCTAGAGGTGGCAGCGGCAACCTGCCCAACGACACTAATGGTGTCAGCGGAGCAGTCACAGGTGGCAGGGGTGGCGTCGGTGAAGCCGCGCCACAAACACTTGCTGGAGGAGGACTCAAGGGGAGAGGGGCTGCCGGAGATCTCCAGGGGTGGGGTGCTTAAGACTTCTGCCAACACTCGCATGCTTGTCGCTTGCCTTCTCTCGCGCCTTTTCAACGACCTCCGCTCCGACCAAGACCGCCAGCGCTTCAGCCAAACTTGTGGCGAGTTTGTCATGTATGCCTATTGCTACTGCTGTATCACCTAGTTTTTTTCCGACAACTCAGACCATATCAGTTAGGATTTTCGCTCCTGGTTAGTCTTTTTGTCCCAATTTCCCAATCCTTCTCTGAGCTCTACTTTTGGTAGGTTTCATGATCATTTTATAGCCTCGTCGCTTGGCTAAATCTACTTTTCTACTTTTTTTATTGCATTGTTTCCCAATGTCCGAGCTCACCTGGGGGCGTTTTGAGGCGCACCAGGGTGCAGGGCCTATTATTAATGCACAGATGGGTTGGGAGCTATGGACATGAGGATTACGCTAAGGTGCCGAGAATGTAATTATAACTAAGGCGATAGGGAAACTGGCACAACTGAATGTGCTCTTAACTAGGCAATCTTCTGCACCTCCCTGTTGGACTTGATAACAAGATATCTTCAATGTTGGCAACTTTTCTTGGCATGCTAATAGGGAGCTGCTGACAGACAAGTTCATCGAGAGCAAGGTGGAAGCGGCGGCTGTGATTGGAACTCTGTTCAGTGGACCCTACGAAGTTGGTTCGCGTGTCCTTGCCACCGAAGGCGTTCTAGAAGGTCTCCTTCTTCTTTCCCAGTCAGAGAACCTAGCCTACCAGACCATTGCATTGGACACTATAATCCTGGCAACTAACAAGAAGGATAAGTGCATGGCTATTATTAATCAGGCTGTGCCCATTCTACGTACCCTCTACAAGTCACCCGATGACGGTGTCAAAGTTCGCGCTCTTCTCGTGCGTCAATCGTTAGTCTGCAGCATTTTCACCTACTGACATTTATAAGCAGATGTGATTTTTTAGGGCCTATGCAAACTTGGCGTATTAGGTGGGGGGGACGCCAGCATAAAGATCATGGCCGATGGTTCGACGGTGATTCTTATGAAGGCCTGTCGTAGACTCCTTCTTGGAGAATCTGCAAGCGGAAAGCCAGAGACTGGGGTGCGTAGTGATGCGACCTCGATGCGTTGGGCTATTGACGGGTTGGCGTACCTCAGCTTGAATGGTGAAGTTAAAGAGGCCTTGATTAAGGATGAGGTACTGCTCATTGCTGTCTACAAAGTTGCTGAGGTAGGTGAAGAGGCAAAGATAATAGAAACTTAAAATTCACATCAATTTGACCTAAGCTGTCTTATCTAGCTGGGGTATTATGACACCGCGTTCCCACTTGTCAGTCTCCTCGCCAACTTGACCAATAGTTTCGTGGAGAAGGAGATCACTCCAGAAATGCTGGAGCTTGCCAAGTTTGCGAAACAGCACATCCCGGAGAAGCACGAGGCGGATGAACCGAAAGTGGTGACTCAGAGACGTCAGAAAATGATCGATGCTGGTCTAGCCACTTGCCTACACAACTTGACAACCAAGCTGGTGACAAAAACATCCGCCGCTCAGCCACAAGTTCGTGAGGTGGTCTCAAGGTAAAACAAAGGCCAATCTACCATTAAACTGATTAGTAGTACGATTTTTTAACGATGTGGTTGCCATTCTGCAGGATCTACCTGTCGTGCACTGAGTGTGTTGATCGTCGCGGTTTGTTGGTGTCTGCGGGCGCTGGAAAGGCACTGCTCAATTTGTCATTAGAAGGCAACACGGACGAAGGGAAGCACGTGGCTTCTCAGGCCCTCGCAAAGCTGACAATCACGGCGGATCCTCGACTCACGTTCCCCGGAGAGCGGGTGAGCTAATGGCAAAAAAATTTTCCATAGAAACTTCTTATCTTTATAGGAGTTCAATAAAAATGTTTGGATTTCGTCCCGCACCCGGAAATTCGATTTGTGTTGTGTGATAGACCTGGATTCTCAACTTTCATCATCTATTTTTAGTTGAGATGTCTGTCACGACAAAAGGTCATGAATGCGAATTTCAAATGTTTTTGTGTTGAAAATGAAGAAAAGTTTGTCTTTTATACCTCTACTTTGTAAAAATATTATAAGGTATTTTGCTGTCTTAGTTCTGACAATTTTATGGTTCCGCACTGATTTAGTGACGAAACGACCACACCCTCTTGAGCTATGGAGAAATGTTTTCTGAGAACTTACAGATTTAAATGGAAGGTTGTTTCATTATTATTTAGTTGTATTCGTGGAGAGTTTGAGCCCCATAAGGTAGCCAAATAAGCTCGTATGGTTTTGCGTAACACTGGTTAGCCGACTTCAGAAAGCTTCTTCAACCGCACTCCTCGTTTGAAAGATGGACAATACAACCTGTTTCAGTGTAAACTGTTTTCCCGCCGGGATAGAAGCTTACAGCCAGTTTTGCAAGTTAATTTCGTTTTTATTATATCTATCTCAATTTAGTCCTCTAACTGTCTGTTTGACTATATACCCATTTGGCGTGTGATAGTCTAATGCGAGGGAGAAGTGGTGATCACCACTTGGAGGCGTACCATTGGGGAGTGCATGGGTGAGATGAGGCAGTGCGGCATTCTCCCAGGCAGACGTTGTGGTCACAGTTGTTTCATTGTCCAGCATGGACAGGACAATAATGGGACTTCCTTTTGACCGGTTAAATATTGGTGGCTCTTTCTGAAGAAAAAGACTTTTTCTAGGGCACGCTGGAGTTGTATCGAATAGAAAGCCTCAACCGTGATTTTTTGGCCCTCAGCAAGGAAAACAATTCTATCGCCATTTCACCGCATATACACACAGACAAAGGCACCCACAAGACAATGGTGCCTATTTTAGGAACGTGGGTTGAGTAGCGAGTGGTTGAGCACTTGAGTACAAAGGCCGGTTCTTAGTACAGGTCAATCGGGAAATAATTCAAAATACATGGCTCATTTTTGACAGATGAAAGACATGAGGAACAGAAAAGTGATGACCTTTGGAGGTTGTTGAGCGAGTCACATTTGCTTAGCTCTTACAACGACTTTGCTCCTTTCGGCTAATGTGAATGCAAACGCAATGTTTCTTCACACATATCAGACGTGACTGCGAATTGCTGCTGACACATTATTCTCGAATTATTTGAATGGCTCACCAACCAAATTGCATCTCTTAGATCATTTTTGAGTTGTGACTTCTACTGTTGCGTATTGCACCAACTGCAGAGGCTAAGTGACAAGCTTGTGCAACTTCAGCTTTGGTGCCCGGTTAGCCTCGGTTTGTGAAGCAGACCAGCTCAATCACACCCATCAAGCGGAACCTATGCTCTATAGAATGAGGGTTGAAAATAGGGTGAAATAGCTCCGTCTTAGCGAACTGATATGTTTTCATCCCCGCTTACAATGCATAGCTGTGGTCAATCGTATACACTTTACAAATCGCAAAAAATTCCAGTTATATGATTCTTTTACACCGTTTGCTTTGACGGCACTGTGGTTTACTAGTTTGCCTTTCTTCACGAACCCTCTCCGATTTCCGAAGGGCAATTTTTCACGACTTCACTCACAAAGTCCTGACCATTTCAGACAATTTTGTCGCATTTCTGATTTTTTTGCTTCTCTTCAGTCTCTGGAGGTGATACGGCCACTGCTTCAACTTCTCGATATGGAATGTCCAGCTCTGCAGAATTTTGAGGGCCTGCTTGCCCTCACCAACCTCGCCTCCTTGGACCATAAGCATCGGTATAACACTAGTGTTTGTTTTTAACTCATTTTCATCTCACCTCTCTATTCAAAGATTAGTGGAGAGGCGATCAACTTTATTATTTATCGCAGATGGATCGTGTTTGGTTAGTGTAAGTGGACATTGAACATCAGGATCAGGGTTATGCTGGTTCTTACATGATTCATTCCGATTCATTCCTTCATTTTTGAAAAAACTAACTACCTTTGCATCAAATGACTCGTAAAATTTGCTGACACTGTAACTTCTCAGTCTTCCCCAGAGAACACTAATTTGGAGCATGGCTTGTTTTTTTGGCTCACAGAAGGACTGAGTGACCAGCAGCCTGGACCAGATGTCGTGGCATCAAGACACTGATCATTGTTGGCACCATGCATCCGGGCTGTAGTGGTTGATCCTTTTCCGGGATCATACAGCACACCGATGGCTAGTTTAAGGGAGGCGTGCCTTCCTAAAAGGCGATTCAATCACAAAAATGAGTCAAATTTAAGGACGGTGATGTGAAAACATCTGTGTTTGGAACACGAGTTGGTGCCACCTCTTTCAGACTCGGCAAATTGCCAGTCTACTTGTGAAAGCAATAGGCAATACATTTTGTCGCCATAGGTGCTAATAATTTACCTATCCGCTGAGATAAAAGGGGTATGTTTTAGATGGGAGGACTCTGAACAACTTCCTTACTTTTTCCCCCTTGAAGCATGCTAAAAATGACGGACTTAGTTCTAAATTCACACTCCGTTAATTTAAGGGCTAGAATCAGCCGCTCACGTATACTGTACACTAAGCCTACTCTCGCCGGCCATACATCTACAAAGTGATTTCACGAAGGATTTCCGAAAATTGGGAAAAGATGCGCTCTTTTTGAAATTGTGGCAACGATGTAGTGCGGGCTAAAGTAGCGAAAGGAGCTAAGGGCTGGAGTAAATATCAGCAACTCCCGAAGTACAATGGCTTAATTGACAAGAGTACAGCTGAAAATTGCAGGGGATCCATTGTTGTCCTGCTGTTTCACTGTCATCAGTGTGGGAAGTCACGAAGGAGACAGCCTTTCTAAGCTAATGTGGTGTTTGAATTCATCTCTGAAGAAACGCAAAAGTCCTGGGAGATTTGCAACGTATGTAGTAAGAACAAAATTTCATGCCACCGATGTGATAGCTGAATTGCGGGGCTTTGAAAAGAACCCCTCTGTCACATGCGAGTAAAACTGAACTATCGTTTCTGCTACCTGGATGCAGTTGTCGAATGCTGCAGGAGGGCGCCCTGCCGAAGGTAGAGCACTACATGTTCGAGGATCATGAGGAGTTGCGTCGTGCAGCAGTGGAGTGTTTCAGTAACCTCGCGCAGCACCCTGCAGTGGTGGTGGCCTGTGGAGGCGAACTTTCAGCCGAGACGGCGGGCAGCGTAGCTTGTGGGTCGAGTGGGTCAGAGGTGGTGAAGCTGTTGACACTCTACTGCTACGACGAGAAGAACATCTTCCTGGTGCGAGCTGCTGCCGGTGCTCTCGCCACCATGTCCCACGATCCCGGCATCTTGCGCAAAATCACCCAGGTTTGCATTTTTCTCTTGCTTCTAAAGCTACTACCACTTGCGATTTGAAAGATTAACTTTGACACCTCTGTATTTAGTTGATTTTCTTGTCATTTGCGAACAACTGCTTCTGTTTATTTCTGCTTTTTATTTTCAAATCAGGTGGACAAGTGGAAGGAAAAGATGGAGGTACTGGCAGCACACCCGTCGCCGACCATTCAGCACCGCGTCGTCTTTCTCTTGCGCAACCTAATTGTCTGTGGTGGCAGCGAAATTGCCCGTGATATAGTCGACTCCCGCTTGGTGGAGCTCATCGACTACCTCCAACACCTTCCAGATATCTCTGACACCGAGGTTCTACCGCCAGAGGCCATCGTTCTCGGTCAAGTGCGTTCATCTGCATCTCATTTTGGCATCGCTATCGTCTTTGTGATGGCTAATCTCTGCCTCTAGTCATTTAGGAGAGGGCTCAAATTAAACCAAGACTTTCGAGTGCGCAAAAAAGAGTTAAATTATAGAGTAGAATTGGCCACAGCGTTCGAATAACACATGGAACACAACTTTAATGAGAAAATATTTTCACCCATCGGATTACTTAACTATTCCACGCCGATTAAAAACGGGAAGCTGTCTTGTTCACCATTGCTACAGGAAGATTCGTCTATTGGGTAATTTCACAACCGGGTAGTTGTGCGTCGATCAGGCGTCCGGGATCTGATGTTCCACACACTGACAGGAATGACTGCTGAGGCTGTTTGCTGAGAATCACCACGGTCGGATTTGTTGCTGACGGGCACACGCCCGGTAGTCTTTGAAATGTTGTCATCATTCAGTTAACTGTCTGAGCGTGCTATTATTGGACCGTACGGCTTTGGTGCCTTCTTTCATGGGCAACTTTACCATCAAACACCGCTGCATACATGTACTACCGTTTTCGGCCCACACTGCGCGCTCTGGTTTTTAGGCGGAGTAATATGACGGGCTTGGCACTTATTATAGCGCCGCGGTAATGCTCCTTTTTGAGCAAGCATGCCTGTGAAATCCAAATTTCCAGTTGGATTAGGGTGTGTCTCGTGCTTTGACTTCCCGTTTGTCTTTGACCAACTCGAAGGTGACTTAGCACCATCACCACGAGGCTTTAAGAAGCAAGTTTGCCGAGCTAAAAACAGCAATCACTTATCCTTTAAATGACCAATTCATCAAGATCGAATTTTCAATGATTGAAGGCAACTTTATCGCAGGTTGTCACATTCAGATAACAGAAATAAGGGGGCTGGAGGCCGGAGAGATGGGATTCTTTTGGATTCTACTAAAACAACACCAATGAAACACCACGCTTTCCTTTTGCGTCCTCAGAAGATAAAGAATGGGGCAATTTTCTTCCGTGAAACCTCCGGTCTTTTACGGAAGAAAATTTTGGCGAAAGCTATGCATTTCTGAGTGTTTCACCATCAGTTCAAACGAGAAAGGGATTGGAGTGGAGGCCCATTGCATCGAATGGACATTCTCGTACGGGAAAGAACATTCTGTGCTTGAATTGGATTTCCGATGGGCAATAGTTCAAATGTTAGATTTGGAAGAGATAAACCAAAACTTCTTAAAGTGATAGCAAATGAACTGTTTCTGTTTCAAATCACTGATTCGGTCTCTGCCACCTCTGCGAGTGGGAAGTGAAAGTGACGAGCTTTAAATAAATGCTAAAAATACAGTGAAGGTCATTCGTTTGGGGATCGCAGTCTGGGTTACAAGTAAAAGAAATATTTGGCAATAAAATTAGCGGATTGTTCAAGAATCCGGAGAGCCTTTCCTTGTGTCAGAAAAACAAAGTAGTATTCCATGGAATCGCTATTTATCCACTAATATTGCTGCGAAAGTGTGCAAGGAAGCCAAAGTTGGATCCTGGACCTGAAAATTGGCGAAAAATATCTCTAAAAATCATTTTACGATTTTTTGGAAGAATTTACCTGGTTTGTTGTGCTGAAGTTGACGTTATTTTTATGAACAGGCGTTGTCAAGACCTTTCATTCCTTCTGATAATTAAGAAATGCGTAAGATACCAATGAAGATACTAAAGTGGTATCGGTCGTTTTTGTACGCCATTGATGACAATCTTCATGTAATTTATAAAACCAAATCAGCGTTAATCTTTCGCAAACTCAATGATCCGATTTTGTCATTTGTGGTTTCAACTATTAGTGATTGCCCTTGTCCCCCGGCTCAGGCCTTGGCGTAACTCTCTACTAGAATAAGATCGTGTTGAAACCTTCTAGTTGGCTTTATGGATCCAGTTAGCCAAAAGCATTGTCCAATTTTCTGTCCAGTTCAAAACCATCTAGAGGAGGGTTGTCCTTGCCATCGATGTGGCGTCTCGAGACTTCCTCAAAGACTGAAGAAGGCATAATGCCTAGGCAGAATACGTATTGTCGGTGTCCGATAGGGCTTTGGGTTACCGGCATGGCCCGGAGGCCAGCTCACCTGACAAAGGTACATTGGCGGAATATCTAAGTGGACCCTTTACCAAAAATGGGAGCTAAACAAACAACTAACGTATTACGTAGCTCCTCTTCTCTTTCGAGTGTCGTCTACAGCACTCTCCTAGGTCAAACTCCCGCGTCGGCCATCACTACCTGACTGGTGGTGTAAGAAAAGCGCCCACGAATCAGCTGTGCCAGTCAACGAATTTCCATACAACTGAGAAGATATCCATTTGCAGTGCCATTGATCCTTCTTGGCAACTCCACTGGATCTGCAGTCTGGGTCTGTTCGGTCTGTTAGGGGATGGGAGAATGTGCTGACCATCAGGGGCATCCATAGCTAGTTGCAGGAACACTGGCTTAAAAGCAGAGTTAAATAACAAAGGATCGGGTTTGACATCGTTCAGTGAGGGCAGGGTTGTACGTTTATTCCTCCTTGTCACTTTCACTTCAATGCTGCCCAGTCATGCCTATCTGGGTTTTATCCACCTAGTGGAGAAGTGGAGGAGGTATCACTTGTTCACTCAGTTGACAACTTCATATGGGTACGGTAGACAGCTCCGCCATTAACCCTTCCTAATAATTCACGGCTAGTGTTGCTTCCCTTGCTAATAGATTTCCTGCACATTGCGGGACTGGGGTAGCCGTTGAAGGTCGACGTCACCATTGTTTGGTCGCAATCTAGTCGATGCTTTGGAAACCGCTTACTAGACTGGGACAAACGTCCTTTTTTTATGATATGTATCAAGTGTGAAGAGGATGTTAACAGGTTAAAATACCTCTTTAATTGGTTCATGCCGACAGGGTCGTCCGAAGGCTGCAGTACGCGAAGAGGCTAAGGCGGATCGCAAGAAGACTCGGGACATTGCGTCTGCGGCGATGCGTAAACTCGTCGAGTACGGTTTCATCAAACAGACGCAGCCGACGAGTCCGTAGGTACTCCGTCACTGTGCCATCGGTGCCTTTTTTCTTCAGCCTTTTTGCATTATTTATGTTTATGAAGGCATTTTTAGCGGAGTCAACCGAACCGCCTTGCAACGTGCCTTCGGTGTTACCTTCTTAATCCTATTTGCTTTCACCTCTTCTTATCACAAGCATTTACACTGATGCAATAATGTAGCACTGTGGCTGTCAGGCTTCTCAGAATGAAAGCAGGGTAAACATTTGGGTTTATGGTTGTATGCAACTAAGAGCCAAATGTATTGCACGTAGGGGGCCATTTAAGGTGAAATGGCATTTACAAGGTCACTGTTTACGAGGTGGGTGTGAGCCGAATGGCGTACTGCGGAAGACTGGAACCACTAAGTAGATTTATTCCTATCTGTAGTAGGAGTTTATCCCGAGAAAATGATCTGCTTACAAATAACTCCACTTTTTTCACACACTTTCTGTCCATAAAATGAGATGTTGAATACATTTAACAATTAATCATTAGCTCCACGTTACTGAGTTTCTTTGCATTGTTAGGTTTTTTTTCAAATTTCCATGAAGAGATTGTGCACAAATTAGCTGTGGATGTCCTCAAGACGACCGCCGTTTTCAAATGTCGGCAATCGTTAGGGGTCTCGTCGCGTGCTCGAAAGCCTGGGGGTGATAAATGCAGAGAACGTGTCTCCCAAAGTGGAGTGGGGTGGCTTGGGTAGGTTTTCTGAGGCTGCCTTTAGCTTGCCAAATTTTGTAAATAAGTTTTGGTCCAACTTTTCGTCGAGCGAAAAAGATGAAGTGAAACGAACGAGGTGTATGGGTTAGTTTCCAAAAGCAGTGCCTCCTGTCAAGAATAGACGTTCTTTTGAGCAAAAGCGCATCAGTCAAGGACGAGGGGTTCCACAAGATCGATCTTCATTCTCACTCCTCTCAAAGGTTGTATCGAAGGTAATGCTAGAGCGAGAATATCCGAATGATGGATTTTTGTAGGCAAATACATTTATTGGGTGTGGTGAAAATGCTCCGTGGAGTAAATACTGTGCCTTTATTCCTACCAGAGAAAGGTTATCTCATTATCCTTCCAACCAAGCGGCTCTAGTTTGATTAATTATTTAAATCGTCGAAAGAATCATTGGCAGTGAATTGGCAGAAAAAGTTACTTACGAAGCGACTGCAGGACGCCACTAGAAATGCAATGCAACTTGGAAGGCTTGATTTTTGTAGGCGCGACTCTTTGTGTGGATTGTTGGTGTGTCTGTTTTGTCCTTTATTAATGCAAAGAGATGACATTTGTGAGAACTGGTTGTATCAAGTTGTGCGCCGGCAACAGAACGTTTGAGGGACAGAAATTGGGTGCCCACGGTCTGAGGCTCTTGCAATTCTCACTATTTTTGAGAGGCATAACTTTTTTCACATTCTGGAGTGAAGGTGATGGTTGGATGCCCGATTGTATGCATCTTCAATTTTCAATGCTTCGACCACCACGCCGATGGGAATTGATTTTGCTTTTCTACTACAGAGGTCTTAAAAACTAGCAACTTGTATCACACTAGAACATTGGCTGACTCTCCTCTGAGACTTGTAACTAGTGTGTAGGGTTAAATGGAATATGCCGCCGCAGCAGTTCTATCAGCTGTGTACTGTAGCTCCTCGAGGCTTCTTCAAAGGCGGAGGAAGACATAATACTAGGTCCAAATATATGTCTTCGACGTACAGCAAAGCTTGGGGTCACTGGTATGGTCCAAAGGCCAGGCCACTCAGTGGAGGTACAATGGCAGAGTCTCTAAGTGGCTCCTTACCAAAACTGGGATTTAAATAACCAACGTATTGCATAGTAACACTCCCCTTTTGATCGTCGTTCCCGGGGCTCTTCTTGGCCAATCTCTCGCCTAGGCCATTACAACGTGGTCCATGCTGCAAACAAAATGCACCGACGAACCACCTAACCACACTAGTCATCGAATTTTCCATGCAACTGAAAAGATATTTGTGCGCAACGTCACTGGTCTCAGTGCGGAGACAAATAACAAATGACAGGATGTAACATGGTCCCGTGTGGATATGTTCTCGTGTTTATTCCCCCCTGACTCTTTGTTCTCATTTCACTGCTGCCTAGTCATATCTGTCCAGCTCGTAGAGAAGCGGTAGTGGTATCACACCCTCACTTAATTGATGTCTTCATACAGGTATGGTGGACAGCCACGCAACGAACTTTTCAGATGGTTCACCGCTAGTGTCGCTTAAATTTTTAATAACTTTCCTGCAGACCACAGGACTGGGGTAGTTGAAGGTTAACGCCATTTTCAGAACTTCTGTTATGGGTCAGCACATATTCCTCCAATCACGGCATATGCCCATCCTCTATCTTGCTAAGGTTTAGCATTCAACAATGGAGATCAGGGTATTTGTCCTTTAGCATTAAATTAGCCTTCGGCTGCCACCAATGTGGAGTCCCGGGACTTGCCTAAAGACAAAAAATGCCGTAGTACTTTGGCAGATATGTACTGCCGACGTACGGAAGGGTTTGGAACGGCCCAGTGGCACAGCCCGGAGGCCAGGTCACATGGCAAAGCTCCTAAGTGACCAAGAGTTAAACAATTAATGTATTTCAGTACAGCTGTTTTGGCTAAACGGTCAAAAGTGGGATAGTTGTGGTGAGGCTCTTGATGAGGGCTTCCTTCATCAGGATGATATGTTGGAGAATAGCCTTGGGTTGCATATCTCAGACCCAAGATCGAGCTGCAAAAACGTTTTGTCTGCCTTTTACGGCTTGGCAATATTATTAGAATCGCCAAATTTACAATGCTGTAAATCTAGCTCCTCAGAGTCATGGGCGGTGAAGTCCTAACCAAGAGAATACTTGCAAGGCAATGTGTTAATATCCCCAGTGGATGGCTCTGAACTTTCAAACCTATATGAGGAAAATGCTAATAAGCCTATTGAAAGTGGTTCATGGCAGAAGCGGATGCTTCAAAGTGACGCAAATTTAACAAATTGGTGAAGAAGTGATGCCATAAAGAATTTTCGGGTACAACTCTTATTACGAGCATGGCATTATTTATTTTGTTAGTTACATCCAATCACAAATCTTTTCAAAATTTAAATGGTTTGTTTTTCTAAAAGATGTGGAACTGAATCGGTAGTTTGACTGCGTGTGGTAAGATCAACCAGAGCAACTAGAGGCGGATTGGCAAACCATAAATAACACCAATTAACGAATGGCAGACGTAGCTGGGATTGCAGATCCTGATCTGTGAAAACTCACATTGAAAGCATTCCATACCTCGTCTTCATGCATCACAGTAACGTGGCTAAGAGTCGCACCCTTTACAATGCGAACTGGAGAGGGGAATGCTGCAGATCGGATGACATTTACCCGGTGAATCTGTGTCGAGTCTTCGTAATTAGCGATTTTAGTCTAAATTTGCGGCCATAATCGAAAAGTAAGCATTTGAGATTGCATCTACCGTTTCGCCTGTAAGCAGGCGCAGTTAAGGTCACACCAGGGGAGCACAGGTTACAAAGGCGCCTCCATGAAAGGGATCCTCGCATAGCATTCACCATTCACTAACTATTGTTCTCAATTTCCGCCATTTGGAACTAACTGATGCAGTCCTCAGCACCTTGAGATAGTCGTAAGTACTTTGGGCAGCTAAATCCCGATTGCATATTCGAAGGGCTTTTACACTTTCGGCGAAAAAAATGTTAGACAAATTCTTGCAAAATATGAACACTCACATCGAAATGAATCCCATGCGATATGCGTCTTCAACTTACACCAAACGCGACTGAATTTAATCCTTGTTGCGCTTTAACTTCCACCCGTCATTCCACTTAACCCCATTACGCTTCCCCATTGAAAGTGTTATAGTATTCGAACGGAATCTATTTTTAACTGTGATAAATGACTTTTAAAAGGTACTAGCACTTGGAGGAAAACAAAAATGTGCTTCTCTGCAGCTTTGGACCTCACATGGATGTCACTTGCTTGACATGTTTTGTGATGGATCACCCCAGTAGCATTTTACTGACTTTATCATGTAGCTTTTACTGGCCGGACAAAATTAAATATTCAGCGAAAATGCGACTCATCTGGGCTATTTATACTTTTACCCATAAATTTGGACCATAAAATACATCGAGGGCGTAGTTGAAAGCTATTCTTAGCCCTACATCACACAATGCTATCTCGAGCTATGCATCTTGGCAATGAGCATGCAGATTGGGATTAGCATACCATATCATGCGATGCTTTCTGAAGCTATTTGATTTTTACCATGAAAGATAGTATAACTTATTTGCCCAAGGTTTGTGTGGTTTCTAAAGCGAACAAACCCTTTCATCCCTTTTACTAACAAACAAATCGGCCTATACATGCTTACACCGCTAGACTGCGAATCGCACGCAGCTTTTTACTAGCTCTGATCATATTTTCCATGCTTACGGTCTCAACATTCTTTTACAACATTCAGTGTCCTCCTCTGTCTTCAAGCTGTCAAATTACCGGGAGAGCATGATGAAAAAAGAAGTTGATAGCATGATTTACATTTCGGGACTTTTAACAGTCAGTCTACTGACAAATAGCCATAACTGTGCGGCAGATTAAGTCCCAGCAAATGCATTCATTTCTTCCGTGCAAGACTTGAATAAGAGGGGATTTTCCACCTCAGGGACAAAATCAGTACACATTGCTTAAATGCGTCTGGACAACTTCTGCACAGAAGCGAATGATCGCTTCTTTGCCACAAACCTGTTCAGGAATTCAAGATACACACCGTGAAATCTTGATGCTCAATTCATTCGTGTAGGGAATGTGTTTGCCGCCTAAAAATGATGCTTTGCTTCCCAGAAACCAAGAAGCTGAGAGTTACCACATTCAGGCAGCAGACATCAATGTACGAACACAACCGGATTGAAGCCTCTCCATCAGCCGGAAAGGGCCCTGAACACGTCCTTTGTGATTTCTCATTCACAGCTATGACAGTGGTAGTCATCGATGCCCATTTCATCTAGCCTCTTCTGTAATTACTCAGCTGCTGGTAGACTGGTGGTGTTGGATGAAAGTAGGGATTAGCAACACACCTCTAATTCAATCAAGGATAGTGTGCATAATAAGGAAATTCTTTTAGCAATTAGTTCTCAAAACCAATGACTCAAAAATCCACATCTAACTAATGTGAAAAGGTTCTCGAAATTTGCTACGTTTCTACAAGCAATGCCTTGAAAACTACGAAAGCGTCTTTCAGGACAAGTAGGAACAGCTCCCTTTAGGGTGACTTCCAAGATCATCACCATTCGAAAGGTATTCTGCATTGACAGCCATCACCGCCCAATTCTTATTTCATGCTTCAGAATATCGCACGGCGATGGTTGTTTTACCTGGCCACTTGTACAAGCAGTTGTGCCCAAAAATGCACAATTATTGATAGGCGGGGCCACTTTCCGCCTTAACTCGCCTAAACTTGGGCAAAACCATCCACTAAAATGGAATTCCTCCCCTGAAAGGCATCTTTAATCTTAAGTAACTTTGTTTAATCGGTCACAAAATCCACACCGCTTATGAGTGGTTTCGATAATGCTGTTTGCACTTCAGCTTTGGATTGTAGTTATTTATAGGGGTTAATGATGCCACTTCTTTCTGTTGAATACTTATTTAACGGACTGCCACTGAAAATCCGAAGATTGGTGTCATGCGTGTAGAGAGCGTTTTAACTCTTAAAAATGAGATCTTAAATTCATAGACAACTTTTATGGCAAAAAATTTCAGATAACAAAAGATGAGATCAAAATTCAACTGAAGCTGATAGCCACGATCACCAGTCAGTATTCCTTGTGACCCCTCCGCAACAACAATTGGCTAACCCGTCTAGACGGTATTTCCTCACAGCGTACGCATACACCACGCGTGGCCTTTTCTCCTCCCTGTTTATTGCGCTGACATTTTGTGGCTCCCTCCACCACTGCTGCACAACCCTTGCCTGAGCCACCTCGTCACGGTGTTTATGAGTCGGCTTTCCTTTGGGTCGCATCACCACAACGCATTATCAGGCGCTTTGATCTCTCCATTAAAAGTAGCTCTCCCACTCCCTTGTAAGTGAAGACATTTCAGATTATCGGATGGCAGGGAACGTTAATATCCATTCTTTAAATAAATTTAGTATGGTAATCCAAGAGGGTCATAAGGCCTGAAAGGTTATACGTTAGTTCTGTTTATAGTGTGAAGAAAACAACACCGGTCTAAAACAATTTCAATCCCTCTACCCAGCTTACTTATAAATTTTCATAGTGAAATGACATTTGTCCAAATTACATCAAGTTTTAAAGGTCCCTTTGCGGTAGCTTGTGATTCGGTCTCCCCAGCGGTAACAGCAGGGACCGCTACCAAATTCCTAGACCTTCTGTCCAGTTTGAATCGGATACTAGCCCCCCAGGTATTGAAACGAGGGAGTACTCGGGGCTGCAGTTTTTTAATGTGCTAATCTCTAGGGCTTTCATATCTGGAAAAACACTTAAGCGTAATATTTTCTGCGCATCTAATTTGTAAAATCGCCTTCCAAAAGTAGTTTGACGTAGGCGCAGAAATTGAATTAAAGATACTAAAATGCTTGAGGATACGCTTACGACTGAACCATGATCGAGAAACGACCGCTTGCGCAAGAGGAAATCTGTGGTTCCTCTTTTTACTCATCTTACTGCACTATCAAACCTCCTGTTGCTCTAGCAATTCCATTTAATTTGTCACAACTTTTCTGCTATTTTTGCCAAATTGCTTACCAGACTTGTAGCCACCATAGCTGTCAAATAGTTGGCCTTGTAACCTATCGATGTTAATGATGTAGATAGTGAAAATGGAGTCGGAAAAGCCATAAAAAGGATAAGGAACTAAGTAGACATAACCAAAATATGTTTGTAAAAAAAACATTTTCTAAAAGATGATGAATCAAAGGAAGTTTGACGCCGGATTTCTTCCAAATGACCTTCATGGGTTGTTAAAGAGAGCATAAACAGATCGCCTCGTCACCATTGCAGTGACCCACTTCGTTAAGAGAGAACTTGTCAGCATCACTTTTTGTTATGAAAGAATCGAAGAGGCTTTGGCAGCGCGTCCGTATCACAATTAGATAGCATAAATCCCGACTCATTGCCAGAGTAACAAATCAGAGCCTTCCAATTATCACTCATATTTATGACAAAAAATTTGCCAAAACAGTTAAGCTTTTGCTAGAGAAAAATTAATTATGAAGGGGTCTTCCAGTTACTTCTCATTTTCAGAACAAAGGCGAGTGATTATAGCGCATCAGTCGTGGCAGGGCAGAGGCCACGGAATGCCGCGGATTGTGCTGAACTAGGCTGCTGCCTCAGGCCTTAAAGCACGCTTACTCACCAAATGCTGGACCGCTTGCGAGAAAAGTAGTTCCCTCTTAGAAGGACTTGTCAGGCGAACCTATGTTTGAATTATTTCCTTAGGCCAGTGTAATGATGGAAGGCAATTATTAAAATCTTCAAATGAAAAAATACCAATTAACCCTTGTCAGGACTCGAGGCCCACCTGGAGACGTTGAGGATGTAGGGAAGAGATGGTGGAATGCTAACAGAAATGGTATGATCGAAAACCTGGGAGTGCTAAAGGGCCTGGGTTCAGGAATCTTTCAGTTACATCAGTAGAGATCTTTGTATTTCTCTTTAATGAAAGGAGGGTATATAAAAGGAAGGAAACTTGATTCCTAGATGTTAAGATTACCAGAAACCTAAGCCTTAGTTAAACATCCTTCGCCAAAATGAAATGAATTCGTTTGCTAGCCTTACTTGTACTGGAACCTCCAATGTTTTGTGAGTTAAATGAAGTGGCAAAATGAAAAAGGCAGCCATAGGAAAACGAGCAGTGGAAAAAGGATGCAGCGTTTTCTTTCAGCATTTCAGTAAATACACCGCACTGCAGTTTTGTTTAACTAGTTTCGTTCAGGAGTGTAAATTAAGATATCACCACTAAAAAATCCTCCTGTACTTAGGAATAAACCCCTAAGTGGAGTCAGCCGAAGCCACTGGGAAGAACTTTTCTGTACTCGGGCTTACAATAACCTTCGGATAGCGGAAATTCTTTGTACAATGGCGAAAAATGCTTCACCAAGGGCGTTTGATTGGTCTTCATCAAACAGTGTGTGTTAATTCTTTATTCCTAAATCAGGACGAGACAGTTCAGTCTCACTACCTATGTAGAGTTCAAGTTATGCTTCCGCGTAACTGTAAAAGCAGGACTTGTAATAACTTTCGAAGGGAAATAACGAAGTTAAGACCATGGAGAAGAGAATTTCCGGTAAGCATTCCTGAGTCAAGTCCAATGTTTATGGCAAAGTGACCAACATCGCCCTTGTCAAAATAAAAATAGCGTGATATGTAAGTTGTTCAATTTTTGGTTTTGGTAACAGATTATTTGAGGGCTCAGCCACTCCATATCCGCCGGGTGGCAAGACCTCCAAATCGTGCCAGTAGCCCCCATCAAGCCCTTTCATACGTCAGCACTACATATTTTGCCCGAGCAATGCGAATTCCTTCGTCATTAGGGAAGCTTTGGGGCTCTACAGTAGTACTTTAAAAGGAGTTCACCAAAGTTCTTTCGGAGATCCTCTTCATTAAACAAGCAAAAGGATGAACTCCACTTTGTCATATTTCTAAAATTACACAAGATTATCTGCTTTTAATATGGTGGGTAAGCAGCTTGTTTAGCATTTGAATATGACATTGCACTTTTGCAGGTTAAAACAAAAAGAATTAGGGACTTTACCCCTCAGTTAGTTCAGTGACAAGTGGCTTATGTGCAGTCAGAAATAGAGTCAACTGTGAGAACAGAAGAATTGTGCCACTTCTTTCACCTATTCATAATTCCACAAAAAAATCGAAGAATTTATATAAACTATACATTAAATGAAATGTACGTTAAGAATGGAGCTAATAAAGTATGTTGAGAATAGAATAAACCTAAAGAATTTTACGTCATGGGCCGTTCCAATCCACTTACCAAAAAAAACAATAAGTTCCAACTTTAAATTTGGCTATAGGATTGAGAGAAAAGTTAGGAAGGAAGGTTTCCCTCAGCAAAGGTAATTGACATTACAGTATGGGAAGAAGAATGTTAAAAGTTTCCAAATCTTTAATTTGACAGCGGTCTTTATTGATTTTATTACAGTCGATATTCGATTTTATCAGGCAAGGGCAAGTGAACACCATTCTGGTGAACTGCAGCCTTAGTGCCTAAACGTCACAGCAAGGAATTATCTTCTGTGGGAGACTAAATCTACGGCGACTTGCTGCAGAGGGAATTAAACAGCATTTTCTTTGCCTAGTCCTCAAATTCTAGTTCTGCCCAATGACCACTGATGGAAAAAGATCAGGTATTGTTAAAAAGGAACCGATTCTAGAGAAATATTGATCAATGCCGCCCCAAAGCAGCTGCTTACATCAGTTTAAGGAAAAACTAGCTGTTTTTCCATGTTTCATCTAGGCACATGTCATTATTAAAAGCAATTGTCGTAGGAGATAGACATCATCCAGTCTTTGGCACTCTCTGACAAACGGTTCGAAGGACGTGACACTCAAATTTGCGACCAGACCGACGGCATTCACTACCAATAACAAAATAGATAGTATTTAATCCAAGTGGGGGGTTCATTGTAGCATCATCGCTTCTGCTTTGCGATGCAACGCGCTTGCCAGGAAAAATCATGACGTCCAAAGCATTGGGGTGACCGTGAGGAGTGCGCTGGGAATCACGTCTTGGTGGCATATTTAACTACCTGGTGTGGCCATTCTTTATGCTTTCGGCCGTAATTCGGATATCCTGATCTTCCTTCCACGTCTGCTGGGGTGACTCGTGGAAGTATGGGGCCATCTCAATGTCCACATTTTCGAAAAGAATATCGCTAAGAGGATAATTAACGCGATTAATTTAAATGGAAAGTGATTACTGTTAGTAAATCCTGATTAAGTTTAGCATTGGTCAACGCTATTTTAGAAACGAAACTTTTTTATCAAAGTCGACTAAACGGATTCGTTTTTGACTAGTGGTTTCGTAAATTTAGCAACACTTGTGTCAGATTTTTGCATTCACAGTAAGAGTATACACAATCGTATTTTTTTAGACAAAATTCGACAGATAAACCTAAAAACGCCAGAGAAAGTGTTGTGTGTGTTGTCAAATTGGCGACATCCCGCTCACTTCTGCGAGGGAAATAAAAAAATGTCGTAATTGGCAGTTAATGAGGCTAAAAGGAGCCTCTGCATGATGAATCGGGGAAAACTCACCGAATTGCAAATAACAATGGCAAAAATGATCATTTTGGTTACAAAAAATATTTTAAATAATATAGGAGGCATTTTTAAAAAGAAAAAGTGGGACTCACGTTAAATGTCAAATAGTTTAAAAAAGCAAAAATTTTGCAAAGCCTCGTTGGTAGGGTGTAAGTGCTACCCATTTGCTCAGGCATCTTCGTTATTGTGCAATGCTTCAGTCGTGTTTTTCGGACTCGCGTTTTCAGTATAGCCAGCATTAGAGGGCTCCGCCGCTTTATTTCTAGCTAAGTGGTAAGTTCTTGGACCTTACCAGTAGTCCCTCAGCCTCTCTGTGCCTCGGCAATGCATATTTTGTCATATTGCTGCGTCTTCTTTCGTCTTCAGGGGCGTCTTGGGGTGCTGCAGCAGTAATTTTAGCGGAGAATCAGACGAAACCTCTTTCAGCGTGGAGTATGGAGGCACTGGAATATGTGCTTCTGTGCCCATTCAGTGGTGGAATGTAGAACATTATCCCATAATACCCGAGCTTCTGAAAGATTTTTTCTCTACTTTCATTTTTAGAATATGATTAGTCAAATCTTCAAAACGCCTTTCCTTTTATTAAACATCTTTATAGCTTCTGCTTGAATCCATGTAGTCAAGTTATCTTTGGAACTTCTAGTAGGTAGCATATTTATTCCCAGTGTTAAAAAATCTACCGTCTGTGAAATGCACACATCAAAGCAAAAAAAAATGCAATTTTAATACCTTCTCTCTATCAACGAACCACCCAGTCACTTTTGCAAGATTTTTTTTACTTTAATGGAAACTGTAGATGGGAGTGCTGCTACAGCTGCTGTAAAATTTAAAAGGCTCTAAACAAAACCGACCACCATATTGGACGCAGAGAAAATGCGGACACTTGGTTAAAAAATATCCCTTTCCTTGCTTTGTGCATTTAAATAAGTGAGTTCATAAGATTGGTGTGATGAGTGACGTCCACTTGCCCTGCAGGGACCCTAGGGCAACAAGACAGGCAGAAAGGTGTACCTCCAGCCTTAAATCTTTTCCTTAATGTTTAGTTGTAGCTCAGTCCTATCGCAGTATTGCACGTAAAAATGTAGATGTCCGCGGGTTTCACGTGTCAAAGTACAGGGAGCTCCATTACCACAAGCTGTTGCATGCGTGAGCAAGCAGTGATGTCCATCCTTCTGATTCACGGCATCAGGACCGGAACAAGCAAGACGTGAACCTAAGCAACAAGCAAAAAGAGGCACTTTTTACCCATAAGGCAATTTGGTTTGGCACAAACGCCCCTCCATTGTGGAAAGTAATAAGACGAGGCTGAAGCAAGTAAAGAAGGCGATTGAACAGGTTATCCGAGTCGTAAGATAGAGATGAAAGGATTAACCGTCTTATATGTGTGTTTAAATGATATACTTTTCTGAATAACAGTGTTAGAAGCACATTCATTTCCTTACGAAGAACACGAATTCGGACAACACTATTTGCTACCCATTTCGCGGAATTGTGAATTTTTTTTGAATAGTCGTAAACAGGACATATTTTACTACTGGTGACTACCTCTCATTTTCCCATTTTTTTCTCTTAAATTTTTCCTCCCGTTTTAACCTTCAGTTACACCCAAGAAAATTAATTTTGACAGGTAAATTGCCGTAAACGCAAAAAATGTTGAAATGACCTTTTTTTAGCATCAACCGTGTCCAGCTGAAATGACAACGAATACCACTCTAAAACGAGTTTGAATATCTGACATTTGGTTTTGACTTTTGTGCGTGAGGGCCAATTTAAACTAACTGGAAACACCGGCTTCAATTTTGTTTTTTCTTTTTAGCTTAAAAATTCACCTTTTAAAACACATTAGGAGAAAAAATACGATCCATATTTCAACATATCCGAGGTCATAATCGAGGAGAGGCCAAACACCCCAAGATAAGTATTTGTGCCACTTTTAATGCATTTTCCAGGCCAGAAGAACCCGCTGCCTGAAAGTGTCGCCTGTATTCTTTGTGGTGTTAATTTGACGGCGGCAAAGAACAGCGCATTTTCCAATGACGATTGCAGTGGTTTCTGTGATACCTGTCCCCAGTCGGAGTAATTTTTTGCAAAAAACTCTGCCACCGGGACCCTATCTTCACCACTAATCAGGATAAATATAGGGACCATATTAAATCTAGTTTTCCTTTAAATTCATTTTTTTAAGTGGAAAGCCTCAGGTAGTACGAAGTGTTCCCTGAAAAGGCACCTAGATGTTGTTTAATAACTGCCCCGGCGGATTTAAATGGCTGAAAAACAAATATTCATGCACACCACGCATCCATTAACTCTTTGTTTAAATTAAAACGAGTGATTAATTGCATATTGGGGCGTCATAACTACAATTTTGAGAATTTGGGATTAATTTAGGCACTATTTGTGATACAGTAACAAAACAGTATCCGCTAAAGTTACAAGCCCAACTGCATGACTCTTAGGACTCCAAAGAATCGGCAATCATTTAGGCAACACGACCTTTCACGAAGGCCATTTCCGTCAACAGTCCAACTGTCCTTCTGCATATTTACGTATCAACTCTAACTAGAATTATGCATCTGATAACACCTTTGGGCATCACATTAGTGGTAGCTGCCGGTGATCCATTTCGGAAGAGTGACGATCCTGATTTTGGTACCTGGCTCCCAAGCATTCAAGCCACGGAGGAGAACACTAAGTGTCAACAGCCGAGTCTTTGAGGACAATAAAGGGACCCACCTCAGCTTTTAGCATTCTAACTAGGAGGAGTTGAGGAGAGAGTAGAAGTGAACGAGTTGAACAAGTGTCATGGAGCAAACCACCATCATTTGTCCGATTTGTGACTCTATGACTTTCTTCTTCCTTCCGAAAACCTGAAAGTAATTTCTAGGCATCCAGGAAGTATTGAGTACTGAATATAGGCACATAAAGCTACTTTAGGGTATGGATTTTATAAAATGGTTCGTCTCTTAGACAATTGTGCCTATAAATAGCCACCAGCCTATGAATTTCGCCTGCTGTATGGCTTTGATCTGCCCTTATCTGCGAAGTCCCATAGTGCAGCTTACAAAGAGTGTACGACTCTGTTGCCATCGAAACATACGAGATCAAATGGGTATCCACCTCGGTAGAAGGACAATAAATAACCCCCTTTACCGCCTCTACAGTGGATGTGGAGCACTGGACCACTTTGTGGCGACCGAAACTTAAAAGTGGTTATGGCTAGCGCTGCGGACAATGGCCGAATGAAGAGAGGTGAGTGGCTACGCAATGGAATGGCATTTGGGACTCGTCGATTTACATATTTCAGGAGATTAAGACCGACGGGAAAGAGAAGATCATTTGTTTCAACAAGACCACTCTAGCTCGTCCAACTTTAATACCTTGGAATGCTTGCTTTACCAACAAGCCCATCCACAACACTGAAACTTTGTTGGAGTCTGAATTTAGAAACTTTATTACCCATATGGATGGAGCCTTTTTACTCAGATACTCAAGCTACATTCTAACATGGTAGAAAGGCTTCTACAAAGCACTTCCAGCTACCTAATCAAGTAGATAAAATTCGTGATTGGCACGAGTGGACCCAGACAAACACATTTTGGGTTGTCTGTAATACGTTTCAATGTGAAATGGAAGAGCTTTTAGTTCCCGAAAATGCCCATCCTAAAAGTAGAAGGCAAAATTTGTGTGATGTAGCTGCATCTTTTTCATTCTGCTGTGGGCGAGATGCTTTTCCATCCATTTTTTCGCCGCGCAAGTCTTGCCACCACGTGACACGGGCTGCTTCCAGTCGGCAGTTTTGTTTCACTTCATCTCCAAGTGATAATCGCCACGTGTTTGTCTTAAGTTGGCCAGGATTCTAAGCTCCCTCGTTCATAGTGCCCATCCCACTTTCAAGTTAGAAATTTTTTATGAGGCCTTTGACTCCCCAGACTGCAAATTAGTCGCAATGAATGCAAAAAGCGGACTGCGAGAGCCATTTTAAGATCAGTTGTAATAGGAGAGGATGAAATGCATTAAGCCATGTCATTGTTTTATAAAATACTGATTTTCAGGTACGGACACGGAGAGCTACGTATTGCGGTCCCAATCAGAAGACCCATAACACGGGCCTCATCAGTCTCAGCTTAGGGCATGACATTTGCATCGTTAAAACACACGGGTGTCCCCTTGACCTTGAGGACGAGGTTCTATGCTAATGAAGTACAGGCCAGGCAAGAGAGAAGATGCAGGCCAGTAGGGTGTGAATGGCTTTAGAATGTTGGGAGGGAGGTACGAAAAGAGAGAATTCAAAGGACCAACTCAGAGACTTCCTGTACGTCAAAAGGGAACATGGTCTATAGTTGTAAACATCCTCAGTTAAATGGCATGTTTTCGTAGTCACTTTGTGAGCCAAGTGGAAAACGGACTTTGTCGGATTTGATTTAATACCACCTACCTCTATGCTACCAGGTAGGAGTGGAAGACACGTGACACTTTTGATTGAGCTGACAAATAAACAGCGAAAAATGGGAAGTGGGAAATTCGGCACTGAGCCATTAATAGAAAAAGTTTGCAATAATTCTCAGTGAAAGCTGTCGCTGTTTATTTACAGAAGGCAAATAGTGTTAGCCACCTATTTCACAAATAATCCAGGAGTTAGTCTCTGCACCTGGCACTACCAAGGCCACTGAAAGGTCATTGCATGACATGTGTGGTCTTATCAAAAGGTAAAACAGATCGTCTGTTTTTGTGGGGCAATAACAGTAAATGTGACTCAACCAATAAACCGGGATATAGTGAGGCCTCGCAAAGGAGCTGAAATTGCAAGATCGTCAGTTCGCTGTCTTGATGGCATGACCTCCTAGCTATGCCCATTGCCTCGCTGGCCATTTCTGTAAGTTGCTGTGGTATGCTTTATCGGAGCATAGGGAAACCCTCAGGACATCATCTTATTGAAACATTAAAGCCACGTAATTAGTAAATTCTGCGGTGAAGTTTGACGATGTTTTCTTAAAACTTTTTAAAAGAAAAAACTTATTAGAGTGAAAAAGGGGGAGACAATGACTTCTGTGCAACAGGCGAGTTTTTTTGAGCGTGTCTTTAAGGATAAGTGAAGAAGACCTGGATTTACTTAATTTTGAAAACCAATTTCTTGGAAAAACCAAGATTGTGATTATTTCATCTCGCAAGCAATATTAATAAAAAGTGACTTTGAATAAGGTTTGAAATTGAAGTTGATACGTTGATATGCCCCTCCTTCGCTGAATGAAGGGAAGGACGGATTTATGACTTGTGGCACATTTCGTGAACTCGCATTTTCTCCTGTGTTGATGGAACAGTCTTAAGGCGCCAACCGAGTCATTTGCCTTTGCTGTAACCTCTTTTATCGGGAAAATAAAGCGCGAGGTGACTCACGTCGTTTCAAAGACGAGTAAGCAAATGAACAAATAAATATGCAAGTTGGTGTAAAATAAAGATGACAAAGTTGACGAGAAGCGACCAGTGGATTGTACTGTAGTCT